CTACTATGAAATACTATGAGACTGAAAATGGAAATGAAAACAGAAATCCAAAGAGATGGACATTAGCAACCACGTTAATGGCTGTTTGAAGGGTATATTTAACTCACAGAGATTAAGGATTATATATGTATATTGTATATATTTAATATATAATTACATATATATTCATATTTATGAGATATAGATCCCTGTATCTTTTTATTTTGAAAGAGTTTAAAACTCAAGTGGCAGAAATAATAGAGTTCCTATGTACCTTTCTTCAAGCTTCTGCAATGATAATATCTTATATTATCAGGGTACTTCGGGAAGACCAGGAAACTGACATTGGTACAATACTATTAATTCAGGTATATACCTTATTTGGATTTCACTAGTTTTTAAAACACTATTTTCAGCACCAGTCAGTGCCCGACCTTTTGTTACCTCTTAATAGTGGTACCCTCCTCTCAATCATAACACTTGGCAACTACTGACCTGTTCTCCATCCCACATTTTGAGAATGGTATATAAATATAATCATACAGTACATAACAGTTTAAGACTTTTTCCCCCTTCAACACAATGTCCTGGAGATCCATCCAAGTTGATGCATGTATCCTTCCTTTTTAGTGAGTAGTATTCCATTGCAAGGATGTTCCCTAGTTGTTGTCTATTCATTCACTGAAGGTTGTCTGGCTTGTTTCCAGTTTTTGGCTATTACAAATAAAGCTTTCAATGAACACTCATATACAGAGTTTTGTGTGAACGTTAAGTTCTCATTTTTTTTGTATAAATACCCAGGAATGTGATTGCTGGGTGATTTGACAAGCATGTGCTTATAAGACACTGTCTGACTGTTCCACAGTGGTTGTGCCATTTTATATTCCCCCCAGGACTGTATGAGATAGCCAGCTGTCTGCATCCTTGTCAATATTTGGTTTGTCAATACTTTTTATTTTAGCCATTCTAATATGTATGCTGCGGTATTTCATTATGATTTTTTTTCATTACGATTTTAATTTGTACTTCTGTAATGGCTAATGATGCTAAACTTCTTTTCATGTGCTTATTTGTCATTTTATACCTTCTTTGATAAAGTGACTATTCAAGTAGTTTGCCCATTTTCCAGTTGAAGTTAGAGTTCTTGAAATTAAGATAGTGAGATGGAGCACCTGGGTGGCTCAGTCGGTTAAGCGTCTGAATTCGGCGCAGGTCACGATCTCACGGTTTGTGGGTTCAAGCCCCGTGATGGCCTCTGTGCTGACAGCTAGCTCAGAGCCTGGAGGCTGCTTTGGACTCTATCTCCCTCTCTCTCTGATCCTCCCCTGCTCATGCTGCCTCTATCTCTCTTTCAGAAATAAATAAAACATTAAAAAAATTTTTTTAAAGAAATTAAGATAGTGAGAGATTATTTCATAAATTTATATATTTATACATTTTTATAAAGTTTATAAATTTATGCCAATTTTAAAACATATAAAATGAACACAATTCAATAAAAATATAACTTACCAAAAACTGACCAAGAAAAAATAGTCTAAATAGTCCCTTAACCCATAAAGGAATTGAATTAGTAGGGAAATGTCTTTCCACTCTACAAAACACCAGGCTCAAATGGCTCTTCCAAGCAAGTTTTAATAAACATTCAAGGAATAAGTAATTTCAATCTTATACAAACTCTTCCTGAGTAAAGAAAAATAGGAAACACTACCTAACACATTTATGAGGGTAGCCTAATCAAGACATCAAAGCCAAACAAAGAGACCATGATAAATTATACACTAAACTCACTCATGAACATAGAATTAAAGATGTAAAAGTCTTAAATAAATATTAGCAAATTTAATTCTACAGTGAATAAGAAAGTAACACACAATGACCACAATGAGTCTACCAAAAAAAAGACAACACTCATCATAACAATTCTCAACAACCCAGTGGAGAAAGGACTTCCTTAAGCTGATAAAAGGTAGTTACCATGAACATTTAATAAAGTTCAAAATCTGATTTAGAAAAAAAAAAAACAGAAATAAAAGGGAATTTGCATAATATCATAAAGGACAGCTATCAAAAGCCTAGAGCAAAATACTACTTTAAAGTTTAACATTAAAATAATTTCCTTTAAAATCAGGAACAAGAAAGGATGCCTGTTACCATTACTTCTATTCAATATTTATTTCTTTGACATCCGAGAGTGCAGTAAGACAATAAAATGATATAAAACGTTTAATACTAGAAAGCTATAAATAAAATTGTCATTATTTGTAGATGATATAGTTTCCATCTAGAAAAAAGAAACTAAAAATAGTAAAATTAAGAAATTTTAGTAAGATGGCTCAATATAAGATAAATATATAAAAATCACTTGCATTTCTAAATATTAGCCACAAATACTAACAAATATAATTTTTAAAAAGATTTCATTTTCATGTACCTAGCTGGGTGCCTTGCTGGCTTGTTTGGTAGAGCATGCAACTATTGATATCAGGGTTGTGAGTTAAAGCCCCACATTGGGGACAGAGTTTACTTAAAAAAAAGAAAAAGATTTCATTTACGATACCAGCATTTATACAGCATTTCTATATATTAGCTACAAATACTTCCAAATATAATTTTTAAAGATTTCATTTATGGGTCTCCCCTGGCTTAGTTGGTAGAGCATGTGACTCTTGATCTTGGGGTTGTGAGTCTAAGTCCCATGCTGCGGGTAAAATTTATTAAATTAAAAAAAAAAGATTTCATTTACAGTACCAACAAAAAACCGAGAATTAAGTAATAAAATATATGTAAAATATTTGTGGAAAAAAATCATAATCCTTTTGAAACCTTGAAAACTCAATACACCATGTTCACACACATGTTCCATGTTCAGGGACCGGAAGTCTATATATTTCAAACTGATCTATAAAGTCAATACACTTACAATCAATATTTCAGTGGAATATTCAGGAATGGACAATATGATTCTACACTTACATGGAAAATTAAGGGGCCAAGAGTCAAGCTATTCTTGAAGAAAATAAGGCCTTTTCAGGGCGGGGGGTGGGGTGGGGGATAAACAAATGATATGCAATACAAAGCCCAGGAATAGACTTACACTTATATGGAAATTCAAATTCCATATACGTATATGGAAATTGGGTATATGACCCAGGTGACATAGCATATCAATGAGGAAATAGCACTGGTGTTAACTGACCATCCAAATGAATAAAGTTGGATCTCTCCCTCACACCATGCACAAAAATGAATTCTACACTCAAGAGGATATAAATGCAATGGAAAACTTATGACATTCACAGGAAATAGAAAAGAATATCTTTATAACCTTGGGTAGGAAAGACATTTAAAAAGATAATGATACAAAACCCACTAAAGAGAACTATTGGTATGTTCGGCACTTTAAAATAAAGAACTGTCCACCGAAAGACATAATAAAATAAGTGAAAAAGTGGTAAATGGAAGAAAATTATTTACCATACACAATCCGCATTGAGAATGAATACCCATAATATATAAAGAATGACTACAAAGGAGTAAGAAATAAGAAACAACCAGGGGTGCCTGGATGGCTCAGTCGGTTAAGTGCTGACTTCGGCTCAGGTCATGATCTCAGGGTTCACAAGTTCCAGTCCAGTGTCTGGCTCTGTGCTGACAGCTCAGAGCCTGGAGCCTACTTTGGGATTCTGTGTCTCCCTCTCTGTCTGCTCCTTCCCCACTCAGACTCTGTGTCTCTCAAAAATAAATAAACATCTTAAAAATTTTAAAAAGAAGAAACAACCAAACAGAAAAATGGTTAACAGATATTTCATAGAAGACACATGTATGGCCAACCAACATATGACAAGACATTCAACCAAAGTAGAAATCAGGGAAAATGAAAACCACAGGATACCATTTTATGCCAAACAGATTGGCAAATATTAAAAATTAGACAATACCCAGAAATAGTGGCAAAAGAGAGCTCTATAAATTGGTACAATTTCTTTGAAAAACTTTCAGCATTATCTGGTAAGCCGTCTGACAATAACAATCTAACAATTCTACTCCTAAGCATAGTCCCTAAACATAAGACATACAAAAATGTCTTAGGCAGCGTTATCTGCAGTAGAAAAGAGCTGCAGATGGTCCAGATGTTTCTTGGCTCAAATATGGATAAATAAACTGTGGTGTATAGCTACAGTGAAATACTATACAGTAGTGAAAATTAAGGAACCATAGCCATATCCGTCATCACTGAAGATTCCCACCTCCAGTCCTTTACAAAATAATGTATTTTAATAACGTTCGGCTTTTGCTTTCAAAAAGCAGTTTTTGTCTTGCTACTTGTCAGTATTTCAAGTTGTGATAACAGAACGGATTGGTTATGGAAACTGGGCTCTGAGTCACAGGGGAGGAAGGGAGAAGCTTCATTTCATGCCTGGGACATTTATGAAATAATCAAGTAAAATGCTCTGGGCACAAACCTACAATGTCAATTACTTCTCATATTTCCCAAGGCACTTGCTCCTTCCTCCTAGCCCCCTACCTTTCTCATAATCACAGTTGCACCTCTTGAGATCTTATGTTTGATGAGAAGCAGAAGGTCCCCAAGGTGGTCCCTGGCACTGAGTTCCTAAGGGCTGGCCAATCACCGACGGTAACAACCACCTGGGCCTCTCAGCTTCGCGCCCACCACCCCCAACACCTCCCCCTTCTCTAAGATCTCGACGGTGTCCGATGGGGCAGCTTTCTATTTCAATACCCCTTCACTCTCTCACCAAAACTCTCAAGTCTGCGCAGGCCTCGTGACTCTGTTAGAGTCTGTACACCCTGAGACTTCCAGGCCAAAACATCCTCGGTTGACTTTCAGCAAGACCAGCGAAGACAGCTAAATTCAGGCCTCAAATGAATCACAGCACAGCACTTCTTAACTATCCGGCAGCCCCTAGACGGGCAACCTCGCGTCAGCGCGTAAGCGCCTCGCTGACACAACAGGCGCCCGGAAGTGGCGGCCAAGCTCTGACGTCAGCTGGCTGCGCCGAGTTGGCTGTTGCGGTACAGTTGCTGGGAGGAGGAAAAAGGTGGAGCCGCTGGGGCCAAGATCATGCCGGACTGCGAGAGGTATTCTGGACCGCAGAGGCAGCTAGGCTTGGGATGAAAGAAGCAGGGCAGATGCAAAATCTGGAGAGCGCGGGGGCCGGGCGGTCAGTCAGCACCCAGACTGGCAGCATGACTGGTGAGTGCCCCGGACCTTGCCGCTGCCACCCCAGCCTTTCGCTCTGCCCTGAGCCTCTGTCTGCGAGTAACTCCGCTGTCCCTGCCTGCCCCTCTTCGCCCGAGCTCTTGCCCCCGGACGTCTCATTCCCGCCCTAGGCGCGTTCTTGTCTCGGTCACCGGGAACCCCTAGCCCGGCAGCACCTGCTTTTGAAGTCGCGTTCACAGCCCCCCACTACCCCCTTTTCCTTTTCTTCTCAGGACCTAGAGCTGGGATCTCGGGTATTGAGCCTGAAGATTCCGTGCTTTTAACTTGATTTCCAAATTAACCACACGTGACGCTTTCCTGTATTTCAGTGCCTTGCCAGCAAAGGTCACCGCAACTGCCCTTTTTGCGACATTCCTATTAAAAGAAAAGCTTGCTCCACGATGACATCAGATGCAAGGACTTCTCATAACTTCCTTTGGATTGTTCCCATAGTTACATGTATCAGTTATACCATTTTTTCCTTGACATCTGAGGGCTGGAGAAAGGGCCCAACTTTGAAAAGTGCCAGAGGAGGTAGCCGAAAGTGACGTTGTAGCCAGCCTTTTGCCCTTCAATTCTCTAGTCCTGTATCTTGCCTCCTACTCTGCCTCCTGCTAAAGCAACTGAGTTAAGGCATTAGCACCTTGAGTATTAGTTCCTGTTTTCATCATTAGTAAAATTTTAAAATGTCTGCCCTCTCTTTTGTAGGTCAAATACCAAGGCTTTCTAAAGTCAACCTTTTCACTCTGCTCAGTCTCTGGATGGAGCTCTTCCCAGTAGTAAATACAGCCCAAAGACAAAAATCTCAGGTATATTTTGTTTCCATATTTTTTCTCACTTAGAAAAGCAAGTCTAAAATTTGATTCTTCCAGTTTCTGTCACACTTAAAAGCAAAGTAAAAAGTCTTAACATTTGCAAAATACTTTTGTGGTTTAGTATGATATTTGTAACTCAGGACTGTAAAAGCTCATCTTTCTAATCTAAAAATAGAAATGTTACCATCTCAGACTCTGCCATGTTTATCAGGTATTAATAGTGTTTATATGTTGGTTTGGACAATTCGATTACATAATTTATTATTCAGTTGTCTACAGTTGATGTTTCATGTGAGTAGTATTCCTTCTCTCCCACCAAACTGTAAATGACTTGAAGGTTGAAATCATCTCTTATTTTACCTTATTTTTCCATGTCTTAGTCATACCCCTTTAGCATCTACTTTCGAAATAGGTGATCTATGAAGGCTAATTGGTTTCTTGTTCCTAAATAAGTCTCTTTTTTGGATCTCAAAAAGGTGATCAGAACAGATTAGGAATGTATAAAAAGAATAATCATAAAAGCCAATGGGTTTGAAGTATGTACATTCTACAACTTTACTTTCTCCAGCCCTTGGTCAGCAGGGTGCTACTATCTCCGCATTTTCCTCCATGCTTGACACTCCAAGCATGATGGTTCGTTCTCAATGTTTGAGGGAGCCAAGGCCATACGTGAAAAGTAGTATTAGGTCGTTTAAGCATTTAAGACATTTTTTGAAAAAAGCGAAAGGACAAATGTATAATGCATGTATCCATCGTTATGGGATCATACAGAATACTTTCATTTCCCTAAAAATTCTCTGTGCTTCACCTATTTATCTTTCTTTCCTCCACCCCTCAATCCTGGTGCTTGCCACTGGAGATACAAAAAGAAAATATTTGGTTCTTATTTTCTAATGAAGACTAAAACTAAGCATTTAAACAGTTAAGATGCAGTTGATGGCAGAGTCAAGTACCAAGTATAAGCAGATGGTATCACAGCCAAAGACTGCAGGCCAGGCGCTACATGGGGAAGTGAGGAAAGGATGCACAGGGGAGGCTTCATTTGCACTGCGATATGAAGAATGAGTAGGTATTTGCCAAGCCAGGCGACTCCATATGGAACTATCTGGAGGAGTGAGAGAACTGGTGGTCCTCATGGGGGAGGGTGAAGTTAAGTAGAGGGAGGAGAATAAAGATGAACTTGGAAAGGTATATAGGAATCAGATAAAAAATATTGTATACCTTGCAAGGGAGTTTAGATTTTATAAGTAGGGACTATATTGAAGAATTTTAACAGGGAATTAAGGAATTAACTTTTTGATAATTAGGACTTTTATCTTTTTAAAGCACTTACAGGTTCACAGCAAAGTTTCCAAGAAAGTACACCGATTTCCCGTATACTCCCAGCCCCACCCCCCCATCCCTATGTTAATAGCTTCCACCATTAACCACATCCTCTCTAGAGTGGTACATTTGCTATAATTGATGAACCTACTACATTGACACATCCTGATCACCCAAAGTCTACAGTTTACCTTATAGTTCAGTCTTGGTGATGTACATTCTGTGGGTTTGGACAAATGAATAATGCGTGTATCCATCATTATGGGATCATACAGAATATTTTCATTTCCCTAAAAATTCTCTGTGCTTCACCTATTTATCTTTCCTCCACCCCCCAGCCCTGGCAACCACTGATTTTTTTTTTTTTTTTTGAAGTGTCTCCATAATTTTGCCTTTCCCAGAACATCATATAGTCAGAATTATACATTAGTATGTAGCCTTTTCAAATTGATTTCTCTCACTTAGCAATATGCGTTTAAGGTTCCCACATGTCCATTCATGGCTTGATCACCTCCTTTTTAGCCTGAGTAAGATCCATTGCCTGGATGTACCACTCTTTATCTATTCACCTGCAAAAGGATATCTTGATTGCTTCCAAGTTATTTCAATAACTTGGAATGAATGAAGCTGCTATAAATATCTATATGCAAATTTTTGTGTGGACATTAGTTTTCAGTTCCTTTGGGTAAATACCAAGGAGCATGATTGCTGGATTGTACGATAAGGAGTATATTTAGTTTTGTCAGAAACTACCCAACTGTCTTCCAGAGTAGCTGTACCATTTTGCATTCCCACCAGCAATGAATGAGAGTTCCTGTTGCTTCACATTCTCTCCAGTATTTGGTGTTGTCTGTGTTCTGGACTTGAGGCATTCCAATAAACAGGTAGTGGTATCTTGTTTTAATTTGCATTTCTCTCATGACATACGATGTGGAGCATTTTTTCATATGCTTATTTGTCATCTGTATATCTCCTTTGGTGAGGTGTCTGTTAAGATCTTTGGCCCATGTTTTATTCTGGTTGTTTTCTTATTGTTAAGTTTTAAGGATTCTTTGTATATTTTGGATAACTGTCTTGTATCAGATCTGTCTTTTGCAAATATTTTCTCACAGTCTGTGACTTGTCTTCTCATTCTCTTGAGAGTGTCTTTCACAGAGAAGTTTTTCTTTTTAATAAAGTCTGGTTTATCACTGATTTCTTTCATGGGTCGTGCCTTTGTGCATCTAAAACGGCATCACCATACCCAATGTCATCTAGGTTTCCTCCTTTGTTATTTATTGGAGTTTATAGTTTCATGTTTTACATTTGGGTCTATGATCCATTGTGAGTTGATTTTTGTGAAGGTTGTAAAGTCTGTATGTATACAGGGAATTTACTCTTCCTGATAAGATGGTATCTCTTGGGGTAGTTTTCTCCTCCAATTCCTATGTGAAATGTTTAATAAATACTAAAATATTATAAAAACTGTTAAGCATTTTTACTCCCTATCTCTTAATCACTCCCTTAACTCCCACCCTAGCTCCACATATTATTAATGGCTTTGAGAGAGCTCTTCATTTCCTTCATGACTTTGAAGTCCTTTATTCTTTCTACCTCTTAATAGCTTAATATTTTCTTATGAAAGTAAAAGATTTTTAAGCTGTTTGGGCTTATTTGGCTTGTTTTTATTTTTTTGTAGATAAAATTTGTCTTGAAGAGATAGACTAGAAGCAAGTATTTAGAGATTTAAGACTTTTTAAAAGCATATTTTTAAAGCTGGGGTTGTTAGAAATTGAATTCTAATTGTGAAGACACTGTAATATGAAGATTTGATCTTATTTTAATTCATATACACACATGCATATACACATATACAAATATATAAATCAAGAATAAATCCTTTACTGAAATTAACTTCTCTTTCAACAGGATGCACATTAGATTAAATACAGTATTAATTGTACATGGTGTTCACAGGGTTGAGTAAGATTTTTTCCTATTAACAGAAGAAAAATGTTTTTAAGCTAACATATGTTTGTTACACTTAAATTCTTTATTCTGCTTTTGCTAAACAAAGTAAGTCACAGAAACTCTAATGCAATTTGACACATAATTTTACTGGAAATACTGCCTTTGACACTTTACCAACCTTTTGTCTTAAAATAGTTTTGTGTTACCAAAGTAATATATGTTTGTTATTTATAAAATGGACTGAAGAAAAAACCTTTTTCATAATTCCACTATCTAGAGACTACTGACTTTTTCATGCTGTTTCTCAATCTTTTCTCTCTCTTTGTCTCTCTTTTTAAAAGTTATTTGAGATCATTTCATTCTGGATCCAGCCTTTTTCACTTAACATAGGAAAATGCTTATGCTGTAATACTATTACAAAGATTGAAGCAGCAACTTAATCTAATAGTTAATGAGTAGTCAGCGATTTTGTGGTTAGCCTAGCTGGGTTCAAATATGAGCTCCACTTCTTACTAGTTATGTAATCTTGAGTAAGTTACTTTACCTCTCTCAACTTCCTCATCTGTAGAATGGAATGTTACTGGTACATACCATATGGGGCTTTTATGAAAAGTGGCTGAGTTAGTGTTTGTAAAGCTCTTAGATAGTGCCTGGCACATAGCATATGCCATATGTTTTTGCCATTATCATTTTAATGTTTGCATAACAATCCATTATATTGATGTACCATATCCCTTAGTACTGGACATTTAGATTGTCAGTTACCAGCTTCAGTATATTTTAACTTACAACACTTCTGGGTTGTTGGTTTTTTTTATCTCTTTAATGTTTATTTAATTTTTCAAGAGAGAGACTGAGCATGTGTAGGGGAGAGGCAGAGAGAAAGAGGGAGACACAGAATCCAAAGTAGGCGCCAGGCTCTGAGCTGTCAGCAGAGATCATGACCTGAGCTGAAGTCGGCCGCTTAACCACCTGAGTCATCCAGGTGCCCTAACTTACAACCACTTCTAAATACGACTGGTATTTGAGATTTTCTGTGTTGCCAAATATTTATACTGTGTGGGTGCTCCTTGAGGATTACTCAGCAAAGTGTACATTTTTACATTTTATGTATTAAAACCTAATGATTTTTAAGAATCCAGCCCAAAACTAGATAAATGAATGGAAGAGAAACTAATTGTTTATGAGACTTCTTGGGAAAAGCACATTTAATTAAAAGTTTTAGACTAGAAATCAGCACTATGGAAATGGCTGTCCTTTAAAATTATAATGTCTCCTATTGGTTCATAATTTTTCATTTTAGTTAAGTTAAACATATCTAAATTTCCTGAGTATTACTTTAGTATAAGAATTAGAGTAACTGCATTATTGCCTCATTTTTCTCTACACATCATGTATTATCCCTCTTGTCCACTCTTCCCATTGTGTACTCACTGTACTTTTCCAGAACAGTAGCAGGTAACATCATGGTAAAGACAGTGGATTTGGGGCTCAGATCCTGGCTCTTCCATTTATTAGCTATGTGACCTTGGTCGAATTACTTAATCTCTCTCAGCCATAATTTCCTCATTTGTAAAATGAGAACAATATAGGAACAACTTTGTAAAGTGGTGAGGATTAAAAGACATAATTTAGAGCTCACTACTTGGGAAGTACTCAGTGTTAGATACTGTTGTTATTTTCCTTCATGTAATCACCATCACCACTGCTACCATCCACACCCCCACCATTTCACTACCAACATCATCACCTTCTCCACTTCCTGTTTTCCCAGAATAGAAACGCTATTCCCAGGATGTGGCTTTTCTTGTAAACTTCTTAGAGGTTATTCCTTTTCTAGCATCCAGCATTTGTTTCTTAAGACTAAGAGGTCAACATTCACCAAGTTTGCCATTCCCACTTTCAAACTTTCTCTAATTTATCACATATCCGCCTATTTCAGGGCTCATAGAATTTTGCTGTATCATTCTGTCATTTCATGGTCACTTTCCTGTGTCATAAGCTCTGTTAAGTGCTACATCATGACCAGCCAGGTCTGTGGCTAGCACAGAGCAAAGATTCAGTAAATATTTGTTGAATTAATAACTGGAGGAGTTTGGTCCCTGGCTCTAAACGTTCTACTTCAAGTTTTACTTGTAGAAGAGACTTGTGGACATCTCTGTGTTGGTGTCCTGTTGTTTCTCTAACAAATTACCACAAAGTTGGTGGCTTAACACACATAGTTATCTTACAGTTCTGGAAGTCGGATCCTGAAATGGGCCTCACTGGGCCCACCAGGGCTGTTTTCAAAGTGTCAGCAGGGCTGTTTTCCTTCTGGAGGCTCTGGCAAGAATCCCTTTCCTTATCTTTCCAGCTTCTAGAGGCTGCCCACATGTCTTAGACCATGAACATCTTCCTCCATCTTTAAAGCCAGCAGTGGCAGGCTGTTTTTCTCATGTTGCATCACACTTGCACTGACTCTCTTGCCTCTCTCTTTCACTTATAATTACATTGGGCCCACTCATATAATCCTCCATCTCAAGGTCAGATGATTAGCAGGCTTAATTCCATCTACGGTCTTGCCATGGTAATATAGCAGAGCCATAGTCTCCAGAGAATGGGACAGTAAAGTCTTTGGGGTACTATTATTTTGCCTACCACAATCCGTACCTAATACCTTTGCTGCATAGTTTCTTATCTTCCCAATTCCAATTAATTTATTTCTTCTTCTTCTGCTTCTGCTTCTGCTTCTCCTTCTTCTCCTTTTCCTTCTCCTCCTTCATCCTAGGGTGGGCATAAACTAGTTAATTTACTTCTATTCCCCTTTAGTCCTTCTTAGCCATGGCCACACTCTGACTATTTGTCAAAACTACCCCAACTCTGAAATCTTTTTTTGTTTGTTTATTTCTGATAGAGAGAGACAGAGACAGAGTCTGAGTGGGGGAGGTGCAGAAAGAGAGAGGGAGACACAGAATCTGAAGCAGGCTCCAGCCTCTGAACTGTCAGCACAGAGCCTGACACAAGGCTCAAACCCACGGACTGCAAGATCATGACCTGAGGCAAAGTCAGACACTCAACCAACTGAGCTACCCAGGCGCCCCTCTGAAATCTTAAACTACCGAATTTTATTTTCTGACCACAACTTTCAATCCTTCTGTATTTTAGAAAAATATGGAGGGGCCTGCCTTATTTACTAGATTAAGTAGTCTGAACTTGAACCTGAATAATGTGTGAAGTCAATGCAGACTTTCATCAGGAAAAAAATGAATGAGCGAAAGCCAAGAAAACCAGCCTTCAAATAGGAAATACTGAGCTAATTCTGTGTTTTGTGTACTAATCTTTCCCCCCACAATCTGCTTTTAATTAGGAAAAGGAAGAGGGAAAGCATGGACCCTTAGGAGATCATGAGGAGATGACCAGAATATCTACTGACAAAAAACAGGTGAATTTTTATGATTTGTTAAAAAAAAATGTGTTTGTAATAACAAAGCAAAAAGACTAGTATAAAGTAGAATGGAAGTCCCTCTTATACTCAGGTTTCCCATTCCCACTTCCAAGGCAGGTTCTTAAATACCTTTCTAAAAGTTTCTTGTGGGGGCGCCTGGATGGCTTGGTCAGTTAAACTTCCGGCTTTGGCTCAGGTCATGATATCACAGTTCGTGGGTTCGAGCCCCGCGTCGGGCTCTGTGCTGACAGCTAACTCAGAGCCTGGAGCCTGTTTCAGATTCTGTGTCTCCCTCTCTCTCTCTGATCCTCCCTGCTCACACTGTCTCTCTCTTTCAGAAATTAAAAACAAAAAACAAAAAAAACGTAAAAGTTTTCTGTGCATTTACAAGATATACATGTCTCTCCTGTAAATAGCAGAACAAAACAAAGCTAGGTTATGCTATAATATGTTCCTACATCTTGATTTTTTTATTTTAATCTTCACGTTTAACTCTTCATACATTTCCATATTAGTTCATAGAAATGTACTGAGAAACACTCTTAACCCAGTTCTCTTGTACTCCAACACATCTTGCTGGTTTAAAGAATACAAGACCTCTTACAGAATGCAAGACCCTAATTGCTATTGACCTAGGTCATTTCTCAGAGTTGTGTTTGCAGCAAGCAACCTGGAGAGGTGAGGTAATGTCTCCCTCTGGGACAGAGAGGAGATTTGCTTGCTGTCTGTGATAAAACAACAGAATCCTGGGCTTGGTGTTCCTTTCCTATAACACAACCCACTTCCTGTCCAGAAATCCATCTAGACCATCTGCATGACCCCTGTGGGACTTATGGCCAAGGGAACCATCACAGACACGGTGCTCATATTGCTTGTTGTGCTATGAACGACCCAGGAGTCATTCTGTCTTCTGCCAGCATCCATGAAAAAGCAGCAGGCTAATTTACTAGCTCCTAAGGAGGGTAAAATCAAAGGCCAAACCTGATAAGATGAACTTTGTTCTTTTTTAATATTGCATAGTATTTTCTTGTTATTTTAATCGTCTGAATTTTCCAGAGAGAGTCTGATTTATTGGGTGTCTAGAAAAGACAAAACACATATATTTTGGGAAAAGTTTCTTTGATGATTCTGATATATATGTTCTTGGAGATTTCCTGATTAGTTCTGAGAGTGAGTCTCTGAAGTGACTCTCCATTTTAGACATGACTCTTCTTGTTCAACAAAAATATAGAAATAATTTGTCTTTGAATATTTAGATGCTTTTAATTATAAGAAAGGCAAAGTTAAAAAAAAATAAAAGAAAAGAAAAGAAAAAGTGACTCACCATTAGATTGTTTACCAAAACAGACTTTTCTCTTTTGCTTATGGTTTTTTTTTTAAGTGGTTTTTTGGTTTTTTGTTTTGTTTTGTTTTTGAGAGAGAAGGAGAACGAGAGAGCGCGAAAGAGAGAGAGCTTACAGGGGCAGGGCAGAAAGAGAGGGAGACAGAAGATCCAAAGTGGCTCTGGGCTGAGAACCGATAGCCCAGTGGGGGGCTTGAGCTCATGAGATCATGACCTGAGATGAAGTCAGACACTTAACCGACTGAGCCAGCCAGGCGCCCCTCTTGTTTATGTTTTAATGTAAAAACTGTGTGACTAAAATTATGTAGATGACTTGCCAAGACGTTAGTGAAGTGAAGCAGTTCAGATCCAGAACAGTGATTCACTAAAAAGACTTAGTCCTCTGGGAGGTGCAGTAAGTGGAAATGCAAAATAGAATGTAACTTAGGCTTTATTTTGTTTTAAGTTTGGGGTGGAAGAACCTTCGTCTCAAACTTGATATTTTGGCCTTAGCTAGAAACAAAATGAAAAATAAAACAGATTTTCTGAGGTGAAAAGGACTCGACTCTAGACAAACAAGTGATAAATAAACTTAGCCTAAAAGATTGTTCTAATAATAAATTGATGAGTATGCATGCTTCCAACTTATTAGTATAGTTTTTTTTTTTTTTTTAAGTCTTTTTTGGTCAAGGTTTCTGGCTTCATTTCTGTCTGTTTAACTAGAAAATGTAAATCCAAAATCATCACCCATTTCCATTTGTCACAGTTGGTTCAGTTTAATACAGTGAGCTCTAGCATGCTGAGACCTTTTTATAAGGCCTTATCAGTTCTTTTCCAAAGTTATAATTTAAAAAGAAAAACTCACTGGAAGTATTCAGAAGTAGATACTAATATACACTTTATATTTGGGGAACATAAAACTCTTAAGAAATTTTGGGATGCTAAGGGGAAAGAGCTCATAAATTCAAGATAAATTTAAAGATTGTTTTAAAAGCCTATATAGATCTTTCATGTTTTAGATATATTTTTGGAAATATATTTTATAAAGGAAAGATTTTTGTATTCCTTTTAAATGTCCTTATAGTTTGGGAAATGGTTATTTAGCCTAGAAAGGGAATTCTATAAAACTTCCCAATTCTTTCCTTTTTAGGCATTTCATAGAATATTATTCTCCATAGTTGCAGACATTTGTACTCATAGCTGAACCTGACCCTTGACTGTTTTAGTTAATACAGTTTTGTTTTGATGTTTAAAGTAATTTCAAATGTGTCCTGTTGGGGATAACTGTAGAGTAAAATCCCTTTGAAAGGAAGTAGGGAATAATGAGTACCCTATTCTCGGCCCAAATTTCCCTCATGTTGTAACAATCTGTCCCAAACCCAAGGTTCAGGTTTACATTCTATACATCAGAGACCTTTCCTGTGAAAATGGCTTAGACTATTTTGTGCCTTACATTGAACTGACTTTTAACTTAGTCTATTTTATCTGATATCATCATTGTTACACCAGCTTTTTTGATTAGTATCTGTGTAAATTAGGACACTTTGTGTTTAATTTAACACCTTTTTAAATTTAAACAGCCCATTCCTAGCCTCAGGGGCTTAAAAGCAGAGCCAGCCTAGTCCCCTGTCTGTGGGTAGGATACTGCTGAGGTAGCCCAGACTTAAGGCTCTGGCTTTGAAGTCTCTCTTTGTTTTTTAACACCTGAGGGTGCATCTTTCTTCCTTTTGAGCTTGACTGTACATTTAAAACCTTTTTTTAAAATTCTAAATAATTTATAAATTTGTAGAAGGTGGAACCTAACCGCATTAGTCTAGACTGCTATAGTGCTAAAAATTGGTAGAGCCGGTTTTTAGAAAGAAGTTGAGAATTCTCTTTATTTAGTCAATATTTAAAATATTTTAAAAAGTTAAGATGATCTCTGCTTTTGTTATGCTGAGCAAAATAAGTCAGGCAGAGAAGGACAAATATATGTTTGCATGTATAGGAGGATTAGGAGGAACTTAACTGAGGAACAAGGGGGAAAAGAAGGGGGGAATGGTGGGGGAGAGGGAGGGAGGCAAACCATGAGAGACTCTGGAATGCTGACAAAAACTGAGGACTGATGGATGTGGGGGGGGGAGGGGGGAAGGGGCATGGAGGAGGACACTTGTGGGAATGAGCACTGGGTGTTATGTGGAAACCAATTTGACAATAAACTATTTGTAAAAAAAAAAAAAAAAAAAAAGAAAAGATGATCTCTGCTTTAATTTTGCCTTTTACCACCTGTGGATCTTTTAGAAAGTCACATAATCTCTCCGGGCTTCACTTATCCATGTATAAAATCACAGGGTTTTCTAGAAGCTTAGTACTAAGTAGTTATAGATGAGATGGTATAAGAAGCAATTCATATTGACTTGGTTCTTGCCCTTTACTAGGTTAAACTGTACTTATTTTTCAGTAGAACACGTTAATGATAATTAAATCCTTCACTGTTTGGTTGAGAAAGGCTGGATTTAGAAAATTTCTGGTGTAAAACCAACATTAAGAAAAGTTTTTGGACCTAAAGAGAAATGTGCTTTTGTTCAAACTGTGTCCAGATAAAGAACTAAACAAAACTTTCATTTTATTAATAAATCAACTATAATAATATGATCATGAGATATGTTAAAAAACAAAATTCAACTGAGTAAATTTAAAGGTCTAGTTGTTTTACTCGATTCATGAATCGGGCAGCATCTTATATAATAGAGAAGAGCTTTGCAAAGCTGTAAAAATGGAAGACTTACACAGGCAGAAGGGGTGGGAAAAGGAAGTTACTAACAAAAAGTGGATTGTTTTAGCCAAGGTCACCTTCTTTTGGGGGACTACAGGAGTCTACCAGGTGGATTTCCTCACCAGCTGACCAGGAACTTCCAGTCTGACTGGCAAAAATTTAGTTAGGATAGGCATTAAGTCATAGTCTGGTGATGTGGGCTTAGCACAAGTGACTCCATTTGGGACCTGTTGTCTCTTGCTCAGACTCCTGAGAGATGTTATCTAAACTTTTAAGGCATTAGTGCCATCCCTAGCTATTGCTCTGAAATTCTTGCATTTTTTGCTGATCCTCTGTGTGGTATTCACAGATCATGAGTTCTGTTTTTGTTTTTGGTGTTTTTTTTTCTTCTGAATCTTTGTGGTATTCACAGGTCATGACCTTGGGTACATTTTTAAAGTCAGTTATTGTCGTTGTTCCTTTTCTGATGTTCCAGTCTTAGGGAGATGATTTGTTTGGTGATTAGTGGCTGTGAACACACATTTAAAGCTGTATTTTAGAGAATATAGTGTGCCAAAGAGACTACTATGATTATAAGCAGCATAAGACCCAAAATCTGGAGTGTGTTTGGAGCTGGGGTCCCCAGCACCCAAGCCAATCAAAATTGAATAAGTTAAAGGAGTGTTGAAGGAAACACTTTCTTTTCATTTTAATTAAAAAAAAATGTTTTCATATTTATTTATTTTGAGAGAGAGAGAGAAGAGGAGAGAGAGAGAGAGAAGAGAGAAGAGAGAATCCCTAGCAGGCTCCATGCTCTCAGCTCAGAGCCTGTTGCAGAGCTTGAACTCACAAACTGTGAGCCAAAGACGCTTAACTGATTGAACCACCCAGGCGCCCTGGAAAGAGACACTTTCTTAAGCCAAGTGGCTTGTTCAGTGGTTT